AGAGAGAGAGAGGGATAGCAGGGGCGCGGGCAGATGGTCGGGCTGGTGTGGAGTCTTGCTTCGGTGGAAATCCCTGAGTGCTTAACCCCTCCTCCACTAGGGAGAGATGTGTCATGACAACAGTTCTCCCCCCTCTCTGCGGCAGATCCTCACTGCTATCACCAATCCGGGCCCCCAGAGGAGAAGAAACAGCTCTGTCAGTATGCCTCCGCAATACTCTTCACATCTGCCTTTGTGCAGGTCCAGGGATAGATAGACAGACAGACAGACAGACAGACAGACAGACAGACAGACAGAGAGACAGATTTGAGAGACAATTGAGTCATAATGGATGTTTAAAATATTGACCTGAATATTGAAAGAAACCTGCAGGTCTCTTAGAGCCACTGATGCCCTCTACTGGCTCACCACAGCCACAACACCCACCTTATGATCCATGTAAACAGTCTCTGCAACAGGTCAAAGATATTACATTGGTTCTCAGCCTTTTTTTGATTCCATGATCCCATTGTCCCAAGGCCCCCAATGTAGGCGGAGCTATTTATGCTGTAATGACAAAGCTGCTTTGTGTTATGTAATTTATGCAATAATAGTTAAATTCCAAAATTCTAGTTTCAAGAATGGAATTTTCCAGCGGATCGTGTGGGTTCTACATCTATCTATCTATCTATCTATCTATCTATCTATCTATCTATCTATCTATCTATCTATCTATCTATCTATCTATCTATCTATCTATCTATCTATCTATCTATCTATCTATCTATCTATCTATCTATCTATCTATCTATCTATCTATCTATCTATCTATCTAAAAAACAGATAAAAGAGAGGACAGAGAATGTTTTTCATTTCAGAAAATAAAATAATGTAAATAAATAAATAATGAATGAATGAACGAATGACTCAATAAATATTGGATAATTGTTGCGTTGATTGTAGGGAGTAAAAAAATTCAACTTACAGTAATATCAAGTAAATTATGTTGCTAAATAAGGAACGCCCATGCAAACTTCACTATTACACCAAAGGAGGGCAGTGTTTCATGTTTTATAGTAATACTATCTAACACCTGTTGCCATGTGCAAAAGTACACAGAGAATAATGGATTTAGGCAAGCATTCATCTGTGGATAGGCCTGTAGATATTCTAAGAACAGATCAAACATTTCTCTTCAAAGAAACCAGTCACACATCATCGATGGGGTGGGGAGGTGTTGGGATCATGTTCAAATAATTGTATGTGACAAATCCTTAGGTGTATAAGGAGAAGTCCATTTGTGAACCCTCCAGGTCTCAAGAGCGTGTTTGAAGTCATGAGATATCGTGTGATTGTGTGAGTGAAAGGAAAGTCACTTTATCGACCGAGGTCCAGTAATTTAATAAAAATGGACTGTTCTAGGGTTGATAGTTTTCATGATTACACATGAGTTTTCATGATTAGACAGTAATGGTAGGCTACTCTTCTTCTAAGAAGTCTGGGCTGTATGTGATACCGATGCCGAGTTCGTAGACCCAGATCAAAAAGAGAGTCCACTGAGACGCTATCTAGAGAGCGTCTCAGTGGTGAGAGAGATCTACAAGCTGCACATGTATTTTTTATGAGAGAAAGAAAAATCTTTGGTGAGGTGTGAATTCCCACCTCAAACCAGTATTTTGCAGTATTGACATTCTCAGCTAACTAGTTTGTATTCGTAGAGCGTTATGCACACATTCTATTTTAGGTTGTGGGAATTGTGATTACAGATGCTAGATGTTAAAATCCAGTTTACTTCATGCTATTTTAAAGTTAGCATAATGTTCTTGCAATGTTCTTTTTAATCCTTGTTCATTTCAACAGCCTAATAATAATAATAATAATAATAGGCATAGCAATTAAAATAGGTAGAATTTATGGGAAAGTTATGTAAAATTTTCAGGCAAATATATACATTCTCACATTTGACAAATACATGAAGTATTTTGAAATCGTTTAGATATTTTCAGTGACCTTTCAAGAGACTCATTTTAAGGGCATTTAAAGAAAAAGCATGCCGAAAACACCATGCAAAAGTCATGGAAAATCTTTTTCATAGAATTCACACTAGAGAGAATCTCCAAGACTATGATTTTCTGTCTCTCTTTTTCTTTCATGTTAATGCTTTAAGTTTTAAAGGAAATGGGTAGTCGACATGACATGCAATTTTACTGTCTTCAAAGAAATGGCTAATCATTATTTTTGTTATATTTTTATCCTTTGGTTAGACAGAAAAGAACACATTTTCTCCATGAAAAAAAAAGAAAAAGATCTTCTAATTTTATAGCCATTTTAATTGTTCTTTTTGAGTCTCCTCATCTGTAAACTGTTATCGTCTGACTATTTGTTTCCCCCTGTTTTCGAGTATTTTGGTTTAGTCCTGTTCTGTTTTCCCGCCACTCATGTCTACCTTCATCAGTTCATCTTCTTCACCTGTGTCTTGTTAACCCTCAGGTGCTCTTCGTTTCGGAGTCACACTTGTTATCTTCCCGGTCAAAAGTGACCGGACACCTAAAAATGAAACTTTCTCCATCCCAGTAAAACCAATGCAATTTATTTTTGTTCTATAATATTTATTCTTTTTAATTTAGTATTTTGAGACAGTTTGATTGAATTTATTAATATTTATGCAATATTTATGGTTTATTTTTGCCATGGAAAAGTATATATATTTTTCTAAATATATATAATTTAAAAAAAAATTATGAATGCAGTATTTTAGTATACTATAGAGTCTTGGCCTTCAGAAAAAAAATATTTTTTGAAGAAAATTAGCACCATCTAGTTACAGTATAGAGAAAAAGCGTAGAATCACTAGCCTTCGTTTCGGAGTCACACTTGTTATCTTCCCGGTCAAAAGTGACCGGACACCTAAAAATGAAACTTTCTCCTTCCCAGTAAAACCAATGCAATTTATTTTTGTTCAGTTATATTTTTTCTTTTTAATTTTGTATTTTGAGCCAATTTGATGTTACTTATTAATATTTATGCAATATTTATGCACTGATAAAAATAATCTGCTTGATTTACTTAAAAAATATAATGAATTTTTTTGCATAACTTTATTACGTAGATCCAACAAGACAAGTCTTTGTTGAAACTACTTAATTTTTCTGTTTGTTGAAATAGAATTTTCACATAAAGTTAACTTAATTTTAGCATTGCTGTAGTAATTTATTTATGTGTGTGATCTACATAACTTTAAGAGTTCTGAATGAGTAATTTTGATTGAATCCAACAAGCTTTTTACATTTCCATATTACAAATTTCAAGTGGGATCTATTTTTTTTTTTTTTTTAATGTTAGTGTATTTTAAAGTTACATTTACTCATTATTAAAAACTTAGTTTTTTACTGAAAGTATAAATGCAAATAGTTATTTTTTACTACTACTATTTCAAAACTGGTACTATCCCCGTGGAATGTGCTAATCAAATATAAGTTGACATTTTCGCCATTTGATAGTAAAAACTGACATGGTCAGTATACAAAATTTAAAAGTATAATAAAATATATTCACCTCACAGGTTGAAACATTGTGTACAATAGAAAATTGTGCTTTATGGTGGTGCTAAAGGAATGGACGTGGAACATTAAGTGGAAGTTGACAGGCTTTATTGTCTTCAGGAATATGGTAACAAAATTCCCCTTCAATACTTCAAGATGTGCATGCTGTGACCAAGGGTTAGTTCACCCAAAAAATGAAAATGAAGTCATTAATTACTCACCCCCAAGCTGTACCAACCCCGTAAGACCTTCGTTCATCTTCGGAACACAAATGAAGATATTTTTGATTAAATTTGAGAGGTTGATCACTGCTACATAGGCTGCCTAAGACATTGAAACTTGACGGCCCAGAAAGTCAATGAAAAAAATGTTTAAATATTCCATGTGACTACAGTGGCTTAACTATAAGTTTATCAAGCGACGAGACTACTTTTTGTGCGAAAAAAGACGAGAGTTCAAGAGATTTCCACGACGCATGCGCGAGAACTGTGATCTTCAAATCTATATAAACTTATACTTGAGCCACTGTAGTCACATGGAATATTTAAACATTTTCTTAATTGATTTTCTGGGCCGTCAAGTTTCAATGTCTTAGGCAGCCTATGTAGCAGTGATCCACCTCTCAAATTTAATCAAAAATATCTTCATTTGTGTTCCGAAGATGAACGAAGGTCTTACGGGGTTGGTACAGCATGGGGGTGAGTAATTAATGACTTCATTTTCATTTTTGGGTGAACTAACCCTTTAAACGTACTACATCAGTCTCAACCAACCAACCAGATGTTTAACTATATTTCAACACTCTCAGTAAGGACTTTTCAATAAAAATAAACATTTACAGAGTATTTTCTATACAATTGTGTTTTTCAGTCATGTACAGTAACATATTCTAAGACTTTAAAGGAACACTCTGACTTTTTGGGACTTAAGCTTATTCACCATATCCCCCAGAGTCAGATAAGTCCATACATACCTTTCTCATCTACGTGTGTGCCGTAACTCTGTCTGACCCACCCACTGCTAGCCTAGCTTAGCACAAAGACTGGTGGTAAATAGCAGTTTACCTAAGTAAACTAAGTCAGTAAGTCAGCAGTCCCGCTAGCATACTAATCCTAATAAGTGTCAAAATAACACCAACATTTTCCTATTTAAATGTTGTGATTTGTATAGTCACAGAGTGTTCAAATAACAAAGTCACATGAGACACAGCCATCTTCTAACCGTATACACACTGGATACTATATTCTCAGAAGGTGAAGCACTTCTTCTATGCAGTGATTTTCTCACAGCACCTGAGAAGCCCCGTGGTGAGGAGCAGAGAGTTCGCTCAGAGTGTTGCGCTAATCACTCTGACCAAGTAGAAGTGATTCACCTTCTGAGAATATAGTTCCCTGTATGTATACGGTTTTGAAGATGGCTGTGTCTCATATGACCTTGTTATTTGTACACACAGTGACTATAAAAACACAACATGTAAATAGGAAATGTTGGTGTTATTTTGTCATTTATTAAGAATAGTATGCTAGCTGGATCTGTTTACCTCCAGTCTTTGTGCTAAGCTAGGCTAACAGTGGGTGCGTCTGACTGTTACGGCACGCACAGAGATGAGAAGGGTATGTGTGGACTTATTTAACTCTGGGGGATATGGTGAATAAGCCAAAGTCCCAAAAGGTCCAAACAGAGTTATAAACAACAACGTCTGTCATACTTTTAGGCCATAAGCTGGATTTTGGAGGGCATGTTTTTGTTAACATCCTCCAAAGGTGTATTTTAGTTTATTTGGATAAATAATGCCCATAAGGTATAGGTGCAAGCATGTGCTACACTGGGAATTCCAAAAAGGACCTCTTCTCCCTTGATGGCTATTCCAGCTTGCTTCTCGAGACCTCCATCCCTGGTTTTGGTGACCACGAACATGTTGAGTACAAATGAAGTGATTTCCTCTTGGATGGCTGCAGAATCGTCGTCATCACAAAACTGTGAAATATACAAGAGAGAATTTAACCTACTTTTTGTTTGCTAATGTGAAGAATGCATACAGCTCTTTGCTCTAAACAGAAATCTTGGTGGGATTACGTACTGTGGTAGTTTTGTTCTATATACTTATGTACATTTGTGCAAGCATGTGCTCGAAGAATGTGCAGTGTGGTGTAGGTCTATGTATTTTATAATGTTAACTTCAAAGAATACTAATAGTAATTTAAAAATGTGGTAGCATTGGATCTGGACGGGAATGATAACTCTGATAGTTGGAAGTGGTGTGTTGTGATTCTGCCTTCTCACACAGTGACACAGGGAGTGTCGCAATTTCGGTTTCATATCGAATACCATCCATCATTTCTACTAAAGAAAAGGACAAAAATAGTAACGCACAGTAACTTGGATAAGTAAATTTAATCTGATTACGTTTTTGGAAATAGTAGCGCATTATTGCTTGTGACTGACAAAACTGTTCAGATTTCAGTTACTTATCCAAGTTACTGTGCATTACTATTTTTGTCATTTTTTTTTTTTTTTTTTTTTGTAGAAATGCCAGCATCACTGGTCATGAGTAAGTGTGTCACATGTACTGTATTGAAGAACACTAAAACTTTCTATATAAACAGGACAACAGGAATTTTGCCATTTGACATTATAACTATACCCCCAGTTTTCTCACTACAATAAACCAATTTAGAGAAATTTACAAACCTTTATCCAGTGTAGCCTACTTGTCAGGAGGATCACCTGGTAAGGACACAGTGTTATAGTTAACTGAGCAATGCAAGAAACCAAAAACATGGCAAAAAATTGTAACTACAACTATAGCCTAATTAAAAATAGTTTAACATTTTACTCTCTCCACAACACTGCAATTAGTTGACCTGCTCATCAGTAAGCAAATTTTCTTCAGTTTCGGTTTAATTGTTAGCCTACTTTGGGTTTGTTTTCCCTCGGAGCTCCGATGGGGAAGCGTGCAGCGAACCGCGTCATTCTGAAGGCGGGACTATGTTCACGAGATGATTGACGGCTGAAAAACCCCAATGAGCGCTCTAACCATAAAGTATAAAATACACCTTTTACACAACCATGAAGAAAAACAGAGCGCGCAAACTAAATCAATATTTCTAAAAATGCGCCCACGTTTGGAGTTATTCGCGGATGCTGTCAATTGTGATTGTGAACACAAATAAATTATAAGGATATTATAATGGTTATCTGCACTATTTGACAAAAGAAAAAGAAAGAAAGAAAGACAGAAAGTCATTGCAACTCAGTTTTGTCATAAATAGTGGCCAAATATCCAAGCTGGAATCTTAAATCTTTCTAATATGATAGTCAGTTTTTAGATCAAGTAAAATGATTTAACGAGTTAATTTTAACGCTGGAGCTGTCCGCGATCTTAGGTAATGTCGTCAGACACTTAGAATAGCATGTCAGTGGCAAAACAAGCAGGTTTTGTGGATGTAAAAGAACGCAATTACCCATATTAACGTACGATTTGCCTAGGCCTAATGTTAATTCTTTCGCATCTACACACTGAAGCGGTCTAAGCCTGGCCAATTTAAAAGATTGTTGTTCAAATCAGTCACTTAAACACAAATACATATTTTTTTAAAGAATAAAATTAGGCTCAGGTTGGGGGAAAAAAACGATTGATGTTACCCTAATTTATTCATGGCTGCTCTAAAAATCCACGTGCTTGCACTAACATTACATTATTTTATTGCTGGAACAAACCATTCTATGGCCACTTGCAAAGTTTCAATTAATGTTAGACTACACGTAAAGCAACATAAAGCAATCCCAGCGTTGCCACATGGTAATTAACAGAAAATCCACGTACGACAAAGCAATCTTCAAATTACATTTAAAGCCTAATTTTTGTACAACAATTGGAACACTGTAAAGAATGTACAAACCCAAGTAACCTTAATTGTTAGCCTACTTTTCTAACTTTATTCTTACCTTGAGTTCAGTCTCCACGTGTAGGCTTCCTCTTCGTTTGAAATGCAAGGGGTTTCCAGACCAAAAAACAGGAAGGGGAGTAATTTTTTGCACTGAGTAAATTAAACAAGGTATTGTTTGTTGAGTGCATGTGCCTAAAAAGATTGGCTGAGATTACTTAGATTAATTTTGTAAGGTAAAAATATGCACATTGTCTTGTGTTTTGAACAAATGAAGATAAATTCAAAACCAGATATATTATGTAAAGATATAAACGTAACATTTTATTGTTAATATTACACATTTTAACTACGTAACATTTACATGCACTCAGAATCATTTTTTTCAGTGTGGTCCATTTTTGCCATTGAAAATAATACAAACTTTTTTTATATATAAATGTTTTATTTTATTTTTTTTTAGCAGTATTTTAGGTTAAAATAGAGACTAGGCCTTCCAAAAAAAATTTTTGAAGGCAGATTAGCGCCATCTGGTAAGAGTATGGAGAGAAAGCGTAGAACCATGTTGTAACCACTGGATGAAATGTACAGTTCTCTATGGAGAGGCATGTGAATTCCCCAGCTGTTCATGGACACGTTTACTTATTTTTTTTTTGTTATAGGTGGATTTCAACATATATTTAAACAATCTCAAAGACTATTTCTTATCAAGTTTTAGATTTTTAGTGATTTAAAGTTTTAGATTTAATAGTGATTTAAAGTGTTAGTTTTTGCATTATGATTACAGTCAAACCTAAACATTGTGTTAGAAAGAGAATGCTAGGAAGCAAATTTTATACACATTTTTTTTTATTCTGAATTTGTACAAAAAAAAACAAAAAACAATGCAATTCATTCAATTATAACACTTTATGTAAAATAATATTTAATGAGCATGTCTATTTGTGTCACTGAACCGTAACAAATATATAGGTGTGTGTTTATTTGTGCGTGTGTGCGTTTGTTTGTGAGTGTGGGTGATGTCAATATCACAATCTTGATGTTTTAGAGTGTCACCCCTTCATTGCTGAGCACTTTTTTCTGCATCATGGCCAATTTGTAGATTGCAAATTGTAGTTTGAAGTTGTAGATTGTTGTTTTTGTCAATTTCCCATTCATTTCCTATATGGTCGGTCATGTTTGACAGAAGAGCAGAAGTGTATCTCATTTTTTTTACGACCACTTAAAGTGCTCGAATCATGACCTCAATTTTTTTGTGTGTTCACATACATGTTGCCATAAAAGTCACGAAGTTTCGTAATTTTCTGATGAAGCAGTGATTTTTTAGAAATTCAAAACAGATTTTTTAATCACAATTTATTGGTGTTTTTGTGTATAAAAGTGTGTGTGTGTGGGTGGGTATGTCTGTTTTGCACTCTTGATGTTTTAGAGTGTCACCCCTTCAATGCTGAGCACTTTTTTCTGCATCGTGGCCGATTTGTAGATTGTACACACAAAAATTCTCAAAGTTTTTGTGTTTTTGTCAATTTCCCACACTCAAAAAAATGATTCATTGGATGAACTCAATTAAGTTGTGGGCAGGATTTCCATCCAATAAATATATGTAGTCCCAACTCAAATTGAGTACATCCATTCAACAGAATTTAAATGAGTTAGCCTAACTTATTTTTATCAAATACTTACAACAGTATGTAATTGAGTTCTCCTAACTAAATTTTACCAAATACAGCTGAAATAAAATAATTACATTAACTAAATGAAATTGATTTTCATTTGACCAACTCAAACTTACTTAATTATTGGAAATGATCATTAATTAAACATATAAATCATTTTTCATTTGATCCATTAACATACACGTGAGACAAAACTGGTTTTTTATTTTTATTTTATTTTTTATTGAAATACATTTACATTTGAACTTCATTTCCTTAGAACCCCTCCAATCAAAAAATGTTTTTTTTTTCCTGTTGGATGTTTGAGTTTCACCATGGTGAATGATGCCAAATAGAATGAACTTGACTCCACAACTCCAACGTCCTCAGGCTCCTGATCCCCATCACTTCCGGTCACATGACTGTGGTTGCTAGGTCCCTTTCTGCATCCTCGGTCGCCAGTGCCTGAACACCACAAACACAGAAAACACAGCAAGTGTTAAATAAAGATGGACATAGAAATAAGGTGACATAAAGTGATGCAGGGCTCCACAGGTGATGGCATCAGACACAAAAATACATATAGAAAAGCATTTGTCCATTATCAACAGCACAACTTCATCCCCCAGGCCAACAGAACTCTAAACAATCTCCCCACTCCAAGCACACACACTCACACTCCCCCCCCTAAATTCAAAAAACATGTACGATCACTTGTCTACAGCAGTACATAAGAACACCTCTGTAGGGCTGCTTAGGGCTGGGCGATTTGGCCTAAAAAATCCCAGATTTTTTCACAAAAATATCCCATTTACGATTTAAAACTATTTTTTTCCTCTCCCTACTTAAAATCAATCTGTAGACGACAAAGAAATTGTTCAAAACAAGTTTTAACTTTATTCCCTTCTGGGATATTATCTGGATTAAAGTGCAATCAGAAACAACAAGCCAAAAAGACAAGAGGGCAGGCCCTGTCATTGTAAATAGTGTAAATATAACATAACATAAAATGGGTGGATTGGGGGGATGTGTAAAAAAAAAAAAAAAAAACTCACAATGTTTATTGTGATTGTCAAAGTATTTGGTAACTAAACAATTTTATTAAGTTTATTAACTATGTAACACAATGTTTACATGGTACAAAGACTGGTATGCTATTGTTTTTATTATTGCTTAATACAAATTTCAATTCAATTCTTGTGATTTGATTCGGATATTGATTCAATATCAATTCGTTTGGGTAAATATTAGGTACAGTAGATATCCTACCTTAATGTGTTATGTTAATTGTTCTCCAAAAATAAATCACTTAATGCTATAATACAGAGAGACCCTGTCAGCTGGTATTAGGTTTAAAGGTTAAAACCAACTCAAATTAAATGTGTTTTTATAACAACAAACAACATTATAATATTTGAATGATATAGGTAAAAATATAATAAATGTGTAATATAGTTATCATATTTAGCAAAATACTCCTCTCTATAGTAATTATTTTAAGTCCAACTAACATGCATGTTATGGCTAATTGAAGGGCATTCCTGAGGTAAATGTAACGTTACGTGACATGTTGTTCTCCAGCTGTTTTATGGACATCTTTCCGCGGTTGAAAAACACTGATCGATTGATTTTATTACATTACGGTAAGTTAGTAGTAAAGAGTAACAGATGATCGGTTCACGTACCGCTTGAACTGAGCTCTGCGATCTTTCATGTCATATTTAGTGACAAGTGCCAAAACGGTGTTTATTGTTTGAATTTTGTAATAAAATTGACAGAATCTGATGAGAATAGGCTATGTTTCATATGAATAGTAGCCTAACTTTTCTCTGCGTGAGAAAATGCATGTGTGCATGAGAGCGTGTAAAAAGTGACAATTGCGTCTCTCACAGTGTTCATTTGCCATGTTGTTTGTGTATCTCTATCTTGGCAAGCCCTGAGTCCAGTCAGAACCACAGGAGCTCAGAGGTTGTTAAAGAGAAAACCGATTTTCATTAAAAAAATAAATAAAATCGACGTAAACTACACATTCAAATTAATCGATAAAATCAATTTATCGCCCAGCCCTAGGGTCTGTCAATATAAATAGTGTGTCATGGGAGACGTAAGGGAGTAACAGTTCAACACTACATGACAAACATATTGTGATGAATTTACCAGATATTCTTTGAAGATGGTGTCTGGATCTTCATTGAGGTAGATGATGCATCTCAGGATACACTCCCTCCTGGTGTTGATGTTGTCACGCTGAAGCAGGGGTTAAAAATGAGACACAATTTAGCCAAATGTGGTTGTTCTGGTGACACAGAGAAGGAGCAGGTTGTCTAATTTAGATTAGAGGGTAATTTCAGTCTGAACAGGATGCCTAACCCCTAAATGCCCCCAACAAGCAAGTTGGTAGTTTTCTTGCATGTTTTACATTGGTGTGTGAGTGGATGAACCAAATAATCGGTGTATGTACATGGATATTAATAACTGCCCCTTAAGTTCCCATGAACCTGCCTAAAATGTTGCAAACAACAAATACCTGCTAGCTAATTGCAAACTGCATTCTTTGCACTGCCACATTCATAATCCTAAAAAGGAGAATAAAGACAATTAGCACATATCACATGACAATGATGCAAATAAGTTTGTGCTAGAATTGAGCAAGTAATGCTAGTCTTACCTACCATTAATAGGAGGTTGCCGTAAACTGCTTTTCAACTTCAACTGCAAAAGATGAGATGCATATATTAGAGGTGTGAGCAATGGAGCAAATACTCAGGCAATGTAACCAAATAAAAGTAATTATTAATTATAGTCAAACACGTTAATACATTGCTTAATATTGTAGGTTGAACTGAAGTAGAGCACCTATTAATATGAATGATTTTTAACATGCAATACAGATACAGATTTAAATACTGTGACTTTAAAAAATCTTTAAATTAAATCAAACCACTTTTCATAAAGTAAAACAGTCTTCCTTTTAATTAATGATATATGCATTATTTAGAACTACTTGCATACATCATTCTTTCAAGCATATTTATTTGTATGAATTAAATATAATTAATCCTTAAAGCTATAACAAACAGTGAATAGTTTTCTTTTTTGTTGCTTGACCACTATTAAGGACACACATCGGATCATGTCCAATGACATGCTGAATTGCACTGACGCACATCCGATACACTCACAACTGTTTTAAGACATAACCGACATAGTTTACGTGAATACTGTCCAAAATGGACATTTAGACATAATGTTGTGTATTATGTCCATTCAGACACGAAAGAGAGCGCAGTTTAAGACTCGCGCGCTGTGTGTGCGCCCAGAAAACCGTAATGATTACGTTAGAGCTCTTCCTCACTCTTCCTCACAGCGTCCTCACTCTTATTCAGATCTAACGTTGTATGTCTGCTCTACTGAAATGTGCGCATCTACCACAGACGCAGGACATCAGTTCTGACTGAATCGCTTCCCAAATAGTCACTATTTGACATTTTCGTCGTTTTTATTGTCAATAGAAAATGTCAATAGGTTTTCGTCATAGTTTTTGTCATTCAAAACTAGGTTTTATTTAGTTATCGTCTCGTTTTCGTCTGTGAAAAAAAATGTCGTTGACGAAAATAATGTAACACTGGCCGCCATTAATGACACATGGCGAAAAAAACGCATAACATTACCCAGTGTCCAACGCGCCCGGTCGGTTGACGGCTTTGCTTTGGAC